GCCTATGCCCTGACCAGTGTCACCTCCCCTGCCACTAATGTTAAAGGCAATGGCTGAGAAGAACGAACCATGAGGTAGTGGATGGGGATACATCCAACACCACGGAGCCAGCCCTCCATGTACGAAAGGCCAATGTTCAAGTTCCTCCGGATGCCCGCTTCGGTGATGCTGCCAGGGACGTTGGTGTTCAGGAGGTCGTTGGCGGTAATGTGTACGTCTTCCCTGCGGACGAACAGCTGGTTCGGGGTGGGCATGTATTGGTCGAAGATGTCCGTGGCAATCTTGGCCAGTGCGGGGTGGGCGACCCAGGTTCCGTCGTGGCCGGCGCGCACCTCACGGAGCTTGTCGGCACGGACGCTGGCCATGGCGGCATCGTTGGCCTTGGGGTCGTCTTTGATGGGGATTTGTGCGGCCATGCCACCCTATGCCTGAGAGTTAGCATGTATATGAAAAAATTATATATTTATCCTAGGAAATTGCTTACCATGGCGTGGACGCCTCGTCGATGGCAGGTCTTAATGAGGAGTTTGACATAGGCATCCATGAAGGGAACGGTCATAGTGACGGCGGAGCGGTCTGGAAGAACGAAGTTGGCGTTGTTGCGGAATTTCTTGATGAAGGAGAAGATGTAATCCCATCTACCGCAGTTCAAGCCGGAGCTGTGCTCTCTAAGTTCATAGATTATCTGTTCCAGTGATTTGGGCCAAATGTCAGCGATAGAAAAAAAGAAAGAAAAAAGAAACCCTGTTTCAGACGTAAATAATGAGAGCATCACTAACCTCATCCATCTCAAACGCAGCGTTGATAGTTTCAATCAGAACAGTACCCCGGATAGTTCCACGAGGCATACCAATGTAATCCTGAGCGAGATTGAAGACGTCATTCCACAGACGAGCCTCAAGGTGAGACTCCATCTTTGGGAGATAGAAATACGGGCCAGCGCCCCGCTTGACCAGCTCCTTTGCATTGTGGAAGAAATAGAGGCCAAAATCGAACAGACTGCCGGAGATGGGCTCGCCATCGACGGTCATATGCTTCTCGTCAAGGTGCCAGCCTCTAGCGCGGGCAATGAGGGTGGGCAGTTTCCTGTCGGTGCGCAGCTTGTATTCCTTTCTGCCTTGCTTGAAATCAACCTGTCTACGGATGGCATCGTAAAGATTGACCTGGCCGTTGACCATGTTCTCCCAAGTGGGAGCGGTAGAGTCTGGAAATATTATATATTAGCTGGGTCTCCCTCGCTTTCCTCTTCCCCCCCCCCCCCCCGTTTTTTTTTCATTTCCCTCCCCAGTGGCATCTTGAATCTGCCAGCCGGATGAGAGTCATTCACGAAAACAGCAAATAAATATATCAAAAAAAACCACCAGCAATAAAAATGACAAAAGAAATAAAATACTAAAAGAAAACAATAACCCACTCACCCTCAAAATCAGCCATATAGGTATACACATCCGAATTCAACGCATTCACCACCATTTTCCGGTCAGTCGGGCCGGTGATTTCCACACGGCGGTCCACAAGCCCCGGAGCAGGCGGGGCTCCCTTCCACGCATCGTTTTCACGGATATGCTTGGTCTCTGGCAGGAAGTCTAGCAGGGTGCCTCTGTCAATCTCCGCCTGGCGGTCAATGCGGCGCTGGAGGAGGGCTTTTCTGGTGGGATTGAAAGTGCGGTGCAGCAGGGCAAGGAACGCGGTGGCGTCCCTGGTGAGGATCTTGCGGGTCTCGGCATTAAGAGGGCCAAGGATGGCCACGTCCTTGAGGAGCGTGTCGACAGTTGCCATTGTGTGATTATTTTTAATTTTTTTTTTTTTTTCCTTTTTGTTTGAGGACGGTTTAGGGAGGGTGAGTTTTTGCGTGGATTTTGTTTCTTATCACGGCGGGTGGAAGGGGGGAGAGTTTATTCGGGTATTTTCTCCAGATATTATAAATTAATAAAAGTATGCAGACAGAGCAGCAGAGCAGATGTATGCAGATATATATGACAATTCAAAAAACCTATATATCTCCATACAGCAAAATGGGGTAAGAGTAAGTTTCAAAGAAGCCATCGCCCGATCTGGGCCGAGCATCTGGTATTTATTCGACCCGTTCAACAGCAATAAATCATGGATAAAGTTACTTCGGGAATAACGTCAGAGAACCCTCTTCGACTAGCTAGTTTTACCGCGGCACATGCATCCAAAAGCCAGAGGCGAATTAAAACCCCCAGCAAGCGGGCCAGGCCATTTTTTTCTTTTTTTTTGATCTTCCTACGCAGTACTACTTTTTTAGCACCAAAAAATATACGAAAATGAATGGTACATTACTTGACATCTTCCTACACGCATGGGCGACTCGGTCGAGAGAGAGAGGGAGACAGACAAAGTTGCTGCTGATATTATTATTTTTCACGTGGGCAGTATTATTATACCCCGGAAGCCAGCCCAATATCAAGGATAAGCGGAAGTTTAAAGCTGGAAGATTGAAAGCCTGTGACCGAGAGAACTTCAAAGCAAGTAGTAGTAGTTCTGTACATACATACAACTGTACTCCGTGTACGGCGTACGGAGTGTACGCCCGTATAATCGGCCAGCGTGAACTAGCCCGTTCTCGGCCGAACTTCCACCGGGATTTATTACGGAGTACTCCGTAGTGACTGGCTGTTTGATAGTACCCCCCTCCAAATAAACGCCGATGATATCCCCACATCCATGCCACATCTACGGAGTACATACGGAGTACATATGTAGTGGAATGTGGACAGGCATCGGCATCTCTGCCCTTCTTCTGTCTTGTGTCTTGTTATTCTGCGCCATTTCGTTCCCCAACCCTCATTGGAACCTGCTAAACAATTGGTCTACGGGTTACGCTGACCTGACCGTGTACTTCATTGTATGTACAATACATACGTACTACTATCCCTACCCTACGCCGTCGCTCTTTTACGGCGCTTCTTTCTTCCAACGTCACACAATGTGACCCCCCCACCACGCGGCTCGTGCGAAACCGGAGAAGACAGCCACTGCCCGGGGCAGCTTCCGATATCCTCCGGCACCAATGGAGTTATTCAATGACGGTGTTAGCACTCCGTAGACACTATCAGGTCTGAGCTGAGGTCCCTCAGATCTCAAGGCTGAACTTATCCCAGAACTGGGTGAGGCAGCATTAAATAATTATTTCAAATCGATTAGCGGTACTTCATAATGGAACAAAGTTCAAATCTTTTATGGTTCGTTCCCAAACACTTAAGTGAATAATTTAATATACCGATACCGTCAAAAATCCGTTTTTGCGCTCGAACTCGCTAACGCCCTAACCGAAAAGCCAGTATTCGATCCATGGACCACTTTGGGTCAAAATTCCGCCAAGAACGTCGCCTTCCCCCGCGCCAACAGATCCAACTCTAATATTTAGCTATAAGTATTCCGTAGTTAACTAGTAGCTAGCTCCATCATGGAAATTCCACAGAACAGGAGAAAGAAAACGAATGAATTGAATAAAAGGGAAAAGAAGAGAATCGAGAAAAAGAGAGATTGATTCTTCGCTGGGTCGGAGTCGAACCGATGACACCTGGATAGCAGATTTGCTACTTTCTGAAAAAAATCTCTTTTGAGACAAGTTACAAGGAGAAGATTAACGGTGAATTCCGTTCACTAACTGTGGCCATGAGAGAGGTTCTGATAATCGTATCTCACTCAAACCTCTAACTACTAGCTGGCTATCGTAAAGAAAGGCCATCATTATCAATGGGGAGGGACCCAATGTTTCATAGTGGTGAGGATGACCGTTTTTTTGCCAAAAGATTTCGAAACAAGCTCATCTGAGAGTTTCTGATTCAACCATCATACTTTCCAAGTCATGCCACACGCCATCTGAGAGCATCTACTTCCATCTGTTTTTGTCAATGAAATCTATGAGCAGATACCGTACGGGGTCCAAGCTTATTGATTGAGAATAGTGGTCGGATGTTGAACCAAGTCGAGATTGGGAAGGGGGAACAGAAAGACGAACAAGTGCTCGAACGAAAACGTACGATTTCTGGACCTGCCATAGCCGCGCGGAGAACAGTCGGTAGAACGCTCTTCGCGAAGTAAACTGGAAAGATTGTCAGTGATAGGCGACTAGATAGTAGGAAAGAAAAAGGCAGAGGAAAGTGTATGACTACACGTCCACAAAGCATTGACATTGACATTGACATTGACATTGACAGGGGCGCAGAGAGGTCGAAACTGGCATTCATTCATCCATTTCCTTCAACCAACTTAGAAATCACATCACGCACGATTCTGGTATATGCGCCTGTAGAAATCTCGTCGCCTGGTTGGCGACTTTGTAGGAAATGGAGGCTGGCCCCACTCCCCAGTTCACTAACTTAATTAGAAGTTAGTTAACCTTTGGCTTGGAAGGAAACTTGTTGGTTGTGTGCGCACCTACAATGACATGGATAAAATTATAATTTATAGTTCCAATCGGTTCACACCCAAAAAAAAAAAAAAAAAAAAAGAAAAAAGACATCGAAAAGAGGACATTTTATTTTCCATGGATGTTAACAATACTAATGTTGTTGCTTTGCTGGGTTGGATGAGTAATAAACCGGTTTGCCACCCACTGCTCGCATAAAGTCGATCGGGGCTTTCAGTAGGGCTAAACATTAGACCAGTGACGCAGTGGTTAGCGTTCCGTTCTTATATGATTCTCAGTAGTTGCCCAGAACTGCTTGTTTTGGTGTGGCCTGAACTCATATGACATATTCCTCAGTGATGCGGGGGTCGTGGGTTCGAATCCCACTTGGTCTAGTTGAAAATAACCACATTGGTCTCTCTTTTTTATTTTATTTTTTATTTATTTTATTTTTTTAGTATACTTCCTGCGTATTTTCTTTTTATTTATACTCCGTATTTATTTTTAATTTATTATATTTGATAGATAGATAGATTGATGGAGTTTTATTTTTCTGTCGGCTATTTGTTCTCCTTTTTCTTCTGGAGGGTGTCTGTCTACTTTTTACAGAATACTCACATTACTTACTACTCTGTACATATTTAACCAACAACAAGTCAAAAATTAGGCGCACACTTCTTTCCCACCCAAGCCGTTCGTTACAGCCCCTCTCTCTGTAACTCCGTACATAGATAAGATTAACATTCATTACTCATTAAAGGCTTTCCAGAATGTAAATCTATCGCACGATGCCCCCGCCCCACGTGTGTGGCCAGCCAGCACGAATGTTAAAACGCCCAATAAAAAATATGGATGGATGGGTGATCAATCGATCGGCCGATAAAGACAGAACGTTTCTTTTTTCAGCCGTTCATTCATTCATTCATTCATTCATCCATTCGTTATCCGTTCATTCAACCAATAATAATAATTTTCAAAACTCCTCCACGAGCGGCAAATCCCTCGAACTCCTCCCTACCCATACTCTGAACTTTCCCGTAACGGGCATAACCCAATTCTGATTCACAGCACTCCAATAACTCAGGTCCTTGCGCGTCAGTGACAAACTGACATTGACAGCTTGGCCCGGTGGCACCTCTATCTTTTGGAAATTACGGAGCACGCGGAGGGGAAAATCGACTGCCCTGGTACTGTTGGTACTGCTGCTACCACCACCACCAGTATTGTTGAGTATAATAGGTTCATCGATGACATTGTCTGGGAACGAAACATAGACCTGTACAACCTCCTTCCCGACACGAGTGCCTGTATTACTGACAGTGACTTTTACAGTGACGAATGGCTCGAAGAGGGATGGGTTGCCGCCTTGGCCGCCTCCAGCGGGGGAGGGAGGCTGGAGTTCGTCGTATCCCCTCGGATACTCGTATGGAGGTTCCTTTTTAATGTCAGCTACAGAGGATATGTACGGGTATATGTATTTGGTCAGGATCCTAAATCCCTTTGGGAATAGAATGGATTCGGCATCGGGGATTGTAGTATTGTAGGATGGTGGAGTGCTGTCTTTTGGCCTGGGTGATGGGAGTGGGGATTTGGTTTTCAAGGGCGTGAGGGTCAGGTTGGATAGGTTGAAGGTAGTGTATGACAGTCCGTAACCGAACTCGTATCGCGGCGTTATGTTATGAGCGTCGAAGTAGCGGTAGTCGATGTAGAGGCCGTGAGAGAAATCCTTTTGTGGAATCGAATCATTGGACTTGTAGAGGACTCCAGCTTCAGGCCCGTAATCGGTAAGGTTTTTACCCATTGTATATGGCAATCTGCCACTAGCGTCCACATCGCCAAATAAAACGTCAGCAAGCGCGTTTCCGCTTTCTTCTCCCGGTAAGTTCGCTAGAAGGACAGCTTTGACCCCTGGAAGATCAATCCAGGACCCAACAACCACCGGCCCAACAGAGTGGATAACCACTACTGTACTACCATTTCCACCGCCACACTCTGATGCCACTTGAGAGACAAGGTCATCCGAACCCTTTTGCAGAAAGAGGTCATTCCTATCACCGTGGATGTCTTCCCAGGCTGCAAACCCTTCACCAGAGTCCGCATTCGCGAAAACAAGACAGAGGTCCTTATCCTGCATATCCTCCTGTAGGACACGGAAATTAGTCAGGTAGCCAGATACCGTGGTTGACTGGTTGTTGAAAGCGTTGCTTAGTGCCTTCCAGGGCGTTGTCAGGTAGGGAAAATCTACAGCTCCGCTCCCCCAACCTGATCCCAATGTCCCTTGATTACAGGCTCTATTCTCACAAGCATTAGGCCCGTTGCCGGCTCCGGCATCCTCTCCATAAATACCGATACGATATTTCTTATCCGATATTTTAGGGCCGTCTCTGGAAAGCGGGAGGAAAGCGTTGTCATTTTTCAGCAAAATCGTCGCTTCAGCAGCAATCTCGCGAATAAGTGAGCCGTGGGCATCCATCCCCTCGCCTTGCGCATTGATAAATTGGTTCACAATCCCTTTAGCATCATCATCCGGGCTACCTTGGTGCAATCGGCCGATTTTATCATGGGTCCAAGACGAGAAGTTCGGGCCCCCATCCCCGTCCGGAGGCGGTTTCGGCCAGGAATCCTGTTTCAACTGGTACCAGGAGGCCACCACCCTAGTTGCCATGTCATTCAATCGATCCATTGGCACAGATGTATTTAGAACAGCTCGACTCAAATTACTTCCCCACAAGGAGATACCGTCAGCCCATCTCAGCCCATCTCCAGGCATCGACACATCCAATCCAGCCAGGGCACTGGCAACTCCACTCCGTTGCGCCAACCAGTCCGACTGGACGAATCCCTGAAATCCGAGCTCGTCTTTGAGAATGCCGTTTAAAATTAAACTGTTCTGGCAGGCGTAGGAATTGTTCACCATCTGATATGCACACATCACACTCGCGACGCCCGCCCGTACGCTTTCTGCAAATGGCCATACATACACCTCCCGTAGTGAGCGATCGTCAATATTGGAAGACATCGCAATGGGTATCCCCCATTCACCTACTTGGCGATAATGCTCTTGTTCATTGAGCACGTAGTGTTTCGCGGTTGCTATTACGCCATTATCCTGAATTCCGCGGATAGTCTCTGCGGCTGCAATCCCCTGGAGAACGGGATCGGAGCCAAAGCCTTCCCAATTCCTTCCCCCTGCAGGCAAGACACCAATAGGGCCCATGGCTGGGCCAAGAAGGACATTGACTCCTTTGAGACGCGCTTCTTTGCCCAGCGCAAACCCCCTCCTGTACATCAAATCATGACTCCAAGTTGCACCGATAGTAACGCCAGCAGGAAACGCAGAAATGTTATCTGCAAAGCGAATGCCTAGGGGTCCATCTTGTAGACAGAGCGATGGAAAACCCACGGAAGTAGCTGGACCTAAGCAACTAGTTAATATGGCGCCCTGGATTGGAGAAAAAGAAGAAAGAAAAAACTCGGAACGAAATTAAATCCTGGTCGGTAACCCATTTTCTAAAAGCTACGAATATAGAGGAATATCGACCTACCCGTGTTTCCAACGCAAAGTCCCATCTGCCAGCCAATACCTGTAGTGATATTCACCTTTTCAGCTAGGCTCATCCTGGATACTAACGCCTGGGCTTTCTCGTAGCTTCCAGCCCAACTTCTCACGGTTCCACCTAGCGGAGATGGATACCATGGTTTTGACAACTTATTGGAATAAAAATTAGCACTTTTCATGACCGGATATATTTCCCGATATACACCAAGAGCTCAAAATATATTCCTTTTTAGACCAAAGGGATGTAGTAGAAGTGGCGGCAACCCCCGGAAAGGGCGTTCCTAGGAATATAAGAAAGACACATATAACTTAAGAAGCATTAAAAAACAATAAACTCACTCCATCTATCGTCTTCACCCCCATAGGTTCATCTACCTCTGAGGTCTTCCTGCTCAATATCCCCTTCCCCCCCAGCGTAGCTAAGACAATTACTAAGACCAAGAGGGCCAGAAGCCAAACTCTTCGCCGCATCCACCATTTCGGTGGAGTTGTTATAGTGGTATCATTGCTCTTGTTATTCTCTTCAGTGTAGTTGTTGACGTTATCTGATGTTATTGTGGTATCATTTTCGTTGTTACTATTTTTCTCGTTGTTATTGTTGTTGACGTTATCTGATGTTTCGTGTTTGGCGGCTGGAGATGATGATGAAGACATGGCCGCAACATGGGGTGCAGATGCGGGGAGCTGTTCGGGAGACAGCTTTTTCAGTCGTCAGAACGAGAAATGCGCTCGCCTCAAGGAAGAACGCTGGTTGCTGGTTAAATTTTCGAAGGCTTCCGCGCCGTGGAAAGGAGGTTGGTTGGGCTCTCTTTCTCGAATGGTACTGATGAGAGGGGAGATAGCTTGTTTATGTTTAGTTGAGGGTTTTTTTATCGAGTGGAAACGGGAAAACAGTGATGTAGAAGAAGAAGAAAGAAGAAGTAAGTGATGAATTAGAGAGCTTTAATGACCAGCTTCACCATTGGAGGGGAATTGGAGAAGAGTTGTATAAATTTGCGTGCTCTTGTTTATTGTGATTGCGGATGTTAATGAAGATTGCTTTGTTGTGTTTGCTTGACTAGGATTGAGACGCGGTTGGACAGATGGGCATGCGCCGGAAGTGTGTGTTTGTGGATTGCTGCTGGGAAGCTAAGTGAAGTTAATGCATCAATTTGTGTTACTCCGTACTATTGAGTGAGAATAATAACTGTATTTAAGAAGCTTTTAACAGCGCTCTTCAGACGCGGGGGAGGAGGTTGTTTGTTGTACGCAGTAAATAAGTATTTTATGCAGGTTTGAAGTACGCAGCCTCTTGGCAGGGGAAAAGGCGCGGCGCCGTTATTCAAGCCAAACCAGTGGCTGCGAAGGTGGCAAATTTATATATATTTCGTCGGTGGCGTATTTATATTTCAACTGCAATCTGTATATATGACTTCTGTGTTTCTAGATAAAGAGATGCTTCAACTGGGTTGTATATCATGTAATTGCCTAGGCGAAGATGTACGTACAGAACCTTCCTTCATGCCTTGAGCAAATAATATGAAAAACATTAAGCGTGGGAAATCAGAGAAATACGTATCCAATGAATATTTTGTATCTACATATAGAAAGGGACTATATACAATGCTATATCCATGCATCCATCCTGTATGTCTCGGTTGAATTGGGCTAGTTGAGGGGGGGTATATTTGGTATCTTCATATAGCCTAGCTACCCGTGCAAAAATTCGGCAAATCTCACTGCCACTGAAAAGGCAATCAAGCTATCAACTAACAAGCAAACAGTTAAACTAAATAAATAAACTAAATAAAATAAAAATCGATTATTATCTCTCTATCGTACGACGCTTGGTCTTCT